CCCAGGCACCCCAGCCCCCACCACAGCATAATGCAAGAATTGCACAGAGAGGGCAGCTTCCAATGGGATAGGTTTGGACCTCTATTTCTGGGCTCCCCCCGCTCCAAAAACAGGGTGTTGTGCAGAGCAGCTCTGGGGCACGTGTGGCTGTCCCATTGCTCTCCCCCAGCTCCCAAATTTAGGTGGCTGTGCCCATGCAGGGTGGCTTGGTGGCAGCCCCCACCCTGGCTGTGGGACCTGCCCGAGGCTGGGGGGCAGCAGGGGCTGCCCCAGTGTTTGCTGGTGCTTTCTCTTGCACTGCGGGGCTGCCCAGCAGCAGCATCACACCGAGACCTCAGCAGCAGGGGGGTGGCACCATCCAGGGGAGTGAGACTCCTGCGCGGTTAGGTGACCGACAACACTGCAAAACTGGGGGCTTCATGCAGTTTGGGGAATGGTCGGGCTTCTGCCCCAGAGCTGTAAAAGACAACCAGGATGAGCTGGACTTGGGGTGGGAGGGAACGCATCCCATAGAAAGTCATAGAAACAAAATTTGTGTAGAGAGAGGAGAGGTTGGACAGGCATTCTGGTGAACAAAGTGTTTTGGACATCAGCCAGAACTTTAAATCTTTTCTGAAAAATTAAGGCAAGATGCCACCCAGCACAACGTGAACCAGTAGAGTTGTAAAAAGGTCCAAGATAAACAGGGGTGTAGCTGGAAAAAGAGCTGCCGTTGATTCGGTTTGGAGACAAACCCTGCCCCTATATCCTACCTGAACAGAGCTCCCTCGCAGTCCGAGCCTTTGAAGCCAAGGAGGAATGGGTTCGGTTTTCACTTTGCTTTACCACACACTCAACCCCACTTCAATTAAAACCAGAAAACACATATTTTGGGGATTTACTGTTCTCCTGCCTGGACTATCCCAAAATGCGACAGAGCCCAGGAGGAACCAGACATCTAAACACACAAACACATCCCCTTCTCTTGACACTTAAGTAGTATCGACACATCCAAAGTATTTTTGGTCACTCATTACATCCTGCTTTCCCTTGGCCCCAGCTTTGCTTTCTTGCTTGCTTTTGCTTCAATTCATGTCCTGCCACGCTGGAGAAAAACCCAAATGCTGTCTTTGCTGGGTGTGGAACGGATGGCTCTGATGTGGAATCCCTAACCACAGGTTTTCGTGTGTCTGGGACACACCGGAGTGTTGCATTTCATTGATCCCCCAGCTGAAACAAGCAGAGCAGAGCAGTTTTCCATCTGCCTCTGAAGGACAGGTCTGCAACCAGATGCTGGATGCCACCATAATTTTTCTTGAAAAAGAGAAAACTTAAAAGACGATGACGACTTAGAAAACTCATCTCTGGCTGTAATACCTATCCACAGGGGGATCCTTGATATTATAAACCTCATAAACCCCTGTGAACCCACCTTTTGTCTATGATTTTTTTTAAATCTGTACAATCATGCTTTTAATTCCCAGTAACAGCACTTTACTCCCTAGTTTCAAGGCTGGTTGGTCTCCTGGGCGGAGAGCCAGTAGCTCCTGTTAGCTGTAAGGAAACTGGTTCAAGATTAAATAAAAAGAGGACAGAAGGATTTCTGCTTATGGAAACCGTCCCACAGAAGAGTTTACGTGGCTTTGGGAAACCCAGTAAGGAGGGTGCGATGCTGAGGTTGGAAGGCTTTCAGTTAGCAAACCAGCAGCTGGAATCAGCCCATGAAAGGAAACTGGATGCTCCTGGCCGTGGTGCAAAGCTGGGATTTCATGCCCAGCAAGGCAAGGAAATGGGCAGTGAGATCTGAGGCAGTTTTGGTTTGGCTCCTAGGAAAGGAGGAGGGATCGCCAAGCCCAGAAATGAGGCAGCGCCGCAGCACAATGGCTGGGAAGTGTAAGGTGGCTGGAGAACTGCAATCGCACAGTTATTATCAAGAATGGCAATGACCAGCCCTTGCTTTTCAAGGCTGAGTTACCGGTTCAAAGGCAGGACACCACCACACCAAATGGTTCTTGCTCCATTTGCTGTGCTCCAAAACATGCTGCGAGGAAGCGGGGCTAACACAAGAAAATCTGATATTAATCAGCTGCTGCCCAAACCCGTGCTGGCATCATTCCTTATTCTCACCAGCATAAACAACATCAGAACACGTTAAAATGGAAAGAGCCCAATCTATGGATCATTGTTTTTTGAGAGTGATCGAGGAGAAATGCAACAATGGTTCAGGAAAGGGCAGTTTTCATACAGACAATGATGAGGAAAACCTAGGAGTCAGCGCTTTGCCAAAACATTATCCCTACCACCAACGTTAGGAAATGGGTTCTGAGCCGAGGGAGAGAGCCTTCCCATCACATGCCACAGCAAGCATGGCTCACATCCCTACCCTGTGGTCACCAAGGGCCACAAGACAGAAAGAGCTAGGCTAGATGAGATCCTCGGGCCTTAAACCAGACCCAAATGTGGAGAACTTGGGTTTAGGTGCTACAGCTGCTCATGTTGAACCATGACTGTAGCTGTGAAATGGCTGATGGGATTCCTGGGCTTGGTAAATCTGCTGTGCATCACCCTGATCGTAACTATGCATCTGGAGGAACATGAGAAGAAAACCATCCAGATCCACTGACCTACAGCATTGCCATCACCTGTTTCAAGGGGACTGTCCCTGTCAAACAGACCTTTAGGCTGGGATACATGGGGGAAGAAAAAATGGGAAAAAAAAGGTAAATTGTGTCTGGGTGCATTTTAGGCAACACAAGGAGAAGCCTAGAAGGAGCTGCTGGACTCCTCATCTCTAGCACACAGCTTGCAGCCTCTCGACACTCCCAGCAGAAGCGATTAATTTCTGGGACAAACAGAAAGCTATCCCGCTCCGCAGATGTTTCCTCTTAGTTCCACTGGACTCCAGTCAACGAAAACGTGGCAATATCTGCACAGCAACACATGGAACTTTCCACCAGCCCAGATGGGAACAGGAGCAGTCTCTGTTGAAGCCTCTGTTAAAAATCTGCTATTTTTGTTTGAGATGGAAGGGAGGGGTTAAAGAGAGCTAAGAAAATAGAAATGAGCAGCATAGCCCTTGGCATGCCTGAGAACCGGTCTCAAAGATTTCTTGGCAGATGCTCTATCAGCTGAGAGAGCTGAGGGCCCTTTTGCCCCCATCAGAACTTTGTTTATCCATTTGGCACACAAGTGGGTAGCAGCAAACCTCCAGGGGCAGCCGAGACCAGCTGTGTAATTCTTTTGGCCAGGCTCCTGATTTATATCTCAGGGGTAGCAGCAGCCCCAGTCTGAACTGGGGCCATACTCCACCCCACCGCCATAGTTTTAAGGCCACCGGGCAACTCAGCATCACACAGCCTCTCGCTCGCTCCTCCTCTCCAGTGGGATAGGGAGAACTGGAAGAACAAACAGGTAAAAACCTCGTGGGTTGAGGCAAGGACAGGGAGGGTTCACTCACCACTTATGGTCATGGGCAAGAAACAGACTGCACTTGGTAAAGCACAAAACCAATTTAATTTGTTAACAATCAGAACCAGAATAAGATAATGAGAAAGAGAACCACATCTTTAAAAGGCACCTCTCCCTCACCGCTCCCTCATTCCTGGGCCCAAAGGCTTTGCTCCCTATTTCTCTACCTTCTCCTCCCTGGAACAGCACAGGGGGCAGGGGATGGGGGCTGCAGTCAGTCCATCCCGTGTTGTCTCTGCTGTTCCTTCCTCCTCAGGGGAGGGCTCCTCACAGCCTTCCCTGCTGCAGCAGGGGGTCCCTCTCACAGGAGGGTCCTTCACAAACTGCTCCAACGCGAGTCTCTTCCATGGAGTCACAGCCATGGTCTTCACCATGGGCTTAAGGTACCTCTTCAAAATACTTATCTTGGGCAAATTTTGCGTGACAATCTGGTTTTTTTTTTTTTTTTTTTTTTTAAATTATTTTTAGCCTGCCTGGTCGTAGTAGTAGTGGCTACACATACCTGAAATACACAGTAGTATTGCAGTCACCTTGAATAATTATGTGAGTGAGCTCTAGAAAAAGGGCTAAAGAGATTTGGGGACCTTAAGTACACCATGTATTTTAATGCGATCATGATTATTAATTTGAGCTGTAATATGTTTTGTCCTGTATCTACAGCTCCCCTTCAGCAAAAACCTTCCCCTTTTCCCCATCAAACATGTTCCAGACAAGACGATATTCTTAATTTGATATTGGGATCATTACTGACAGTCACTATGCTTTTCCAGATGAATTATCAAACTCCTAAAAAGTTAACTTATTTTCCCTTTTACCTTAGCCCTGCCCCTTTTCCTTAGCCCCAGTCAGAGGTTTTGGCTAGGTTACTATTGTACCTGTTGGCAAAAGGGATAGTCAGAGCTCTAGTAAGCAAAGAAATCTCAGTTTAAAATATGAATGAGAAACTGTGGACCATGTTGTACTTATAGCAAAATCTAACCCCATTTCATTCAGGAAAAGTAAGACAATTTGAAGGAAGCCTTCCACAAACTGCTGTTCTCATCTGGCTGGTGAGCAAAAAAAATGTCAAGAGGGCCAAACCCTGGCTTGTGCTGTACCTAGGACACAGCAGCTGGTCTGCAGGAGTGGAACACGCACAAGCAGATTTAAGTGGAACCCACACCTGTCACTCACGAAAACAGACTCAAGCACTTCCCAGGCAATTGCATCAATTGCTGTTGGTGCCCTTCCTTGGGGTGGGCAGTTACCCTTACGGAAAGCATCTGAAATTTGCTTATTTGCATTTTACTGTAGCTAGCTTTATGCTTAGTAACATTTTAAAAGCATCTTAGCCAGAAGGATAAAGGTACCGGAAAAAAATTACCTTTTTCTATATACAAACTGACAAGATTGCACAACCAATTAAAAACAGTTTCAACATTTAATAAAAACTCATCCTAGAAATCCAACTTTCTGCCGTGAGGTCCCCAAACGCTCTTCTTCATCCAAAATCTTCTGAAGGGCTATGTGCAATGACTTGCCTACTCTTTTTCCCGTCTGCAATGCAAAGAAAGCAAACAAATCTGAGACATATGCTTATTTACAGGAAGACAACTCTCATGGAACACTTCCCTTTGACAAATATTTTCCCTTTAATGATTAATATACACCAGCTGGTATAATAAAAACATGCTTTTAATTCAGAAAAATAATGGTGATGGAAGTTTTCGTTTTAATTTTATAAAGTTTGGGAAAAATGTACACATAAAGGCAGCGCTCCCATCCATCAGAGAAGCATTCCATGATCATTAACGCCAGATCTGTGCACTGCAGGATCACTCAGGAATCCAAACTAAATTCACATCAGGCACAAGCACACATTCAGATCAGCCAGCGCTTGTAATATGAAGCAATATGCTAGTTGCAGGGGACAAGAGATACTTGACCAGCACAGCAGGCTACTAACACAAAGTTCAGTAAACTCTTCTGGATGTGCTTCTTTAGAATCAGCAGACTGATTTTAGACCATGTGGCCAGATGGTCTTCTCATGTGGCCAGAGAAGCCCCAAATTCACACTGGCTGCATCAATATATCAGCCTGTGGGCAGATTCTTCATTATGACGTGTGATTCTGTACTGTCTAAGGACTTTAAAGGAGTTAACAGAAGGTTTTCTTTACAGAAATAAATTCCAGCAATGGAAAAGCACTGGGATTAGCTCCGATACCAGCCTCTGGATCAACACCATGAAACAGTGAAGTGCCATATATACACTCAGCATGTAATTTCCGCTTGAGACCAACTGCTTTCAAACTTGGCTCCAAGTTCTGCATTCCTCACTACAGCCATGCTGAAATTAGTTCTGGATCTCTAGGAAACAGAGCCAGTTTGAAGTATTTACTTTTCATTCTGACTCCAAGTTCAAAATCCAGTTCTGTCTCATGCTCAAGGTCAAACCCAGGCATGAGAATTTATACTGGAAGACAGTTTTAAGAAGAACCTGAAGAAAGTTTAAAATGGAATTATTAAGTGGATGTGAACAATACCCAGATATTGTATTTTCATGGAGAAGGAGCAGATCAGAAACCCAATAAAGGAGCAAAGAAAAACAACAGTAAAATGACAGCAGTAAGCTGATCACAAAACAAATGAGCTGTGAACACAATGCACTAGTAATTCAAAGTACCACCTGTACTCCTATGGGGACTTTACCATGTTAGAAGGTTTGCTCTTTCACCCTTTAAGGCAAACAGTGAGAGAGGGAACATGTTCTCTAAAAATTTATCAATTTAAGCTTGATATCCTTACAGCTGTGAGGTACTTGACTGAAGCAACTATGAGTCACACACATTTCAGGCATATCAAAGTTTTAGATGACTTCCATTCATACTAGATTCTGTTTCACAGGAACTGTCTGTGACCTTCAGCAAGTCCCTTGTGCACCTAATAAAAGCACCAGGATCCCTGCTCTACAAGTCTTTACTGCAGCTTTTCATATACTCAAGTTCCAGTTCATCCAGTATCATTCAGTAACATCAGTAACTTCTCAAACCTCCTTACCTCCATCATTTCAAAAATACTCTCAGGATCAAGGCTACCTTTCCCCACTTTTTTCATGGAAGTGAGAGCGCCTTTACTGGTCACAGAAATAAGCAGGCTGGCCAAAGAACAGGCTTCTTCCTGTGGGGTGGCATCCACCACATGCCTGTATCCAATCTGTAAGTTAGCAACAAAGCAACATGTTAGTTTGCAGTTGTCTGAGCTCTTTATCAAGAAGTTAAACTGTGAGTAGTAGCTCCGTTGGCTATCTACAGCCTCCCATCCTACCATCATACGATTGACTTGGCAGCACAGCCTCTGACCCCAAATTATGTGCACATACATAACAGAGGCGAGATAAGCACATCACTATTTCACACTGTTTTCCTCTCTGACCATCCTTTTATCTATATGAAACTCCAGATTCCCCTTCTCCCCCAACTCCAAGCATGGACTTTGCTCCTTGCTAGGTGAAAATTACACATCCTGGGACTCGGGTGAGCCTCCACTTCAGCAGTGGCCTTTCTCCCATTTATGAAACCTGCTTAAAAGATACGTCAGACAAACATCCAGGTAACTAAGCAAATCACTAACTCTGCACCCCACAATTCAGCTGCGTTAGTTGTGGGCTATATATAGAAAGGAAAACAGGAACCTGTTTGAAAGGAAAGGACAGTATTGACCCCATGAAAGTACAGTTCTGTCCCCAGCAACAAATACTCGTATAACTCCAGGCAGATCACACATCTCTGTGCCTCACAACAATACCCATTTGTTTTCACATACTGAACTATCTGCTGCTCTGGATGTTGAGTGAGGAGTAGATGAAAGATAATAACTCTTCTGCATGCAAGAAGATGCATTTTAAGAATGCATCAAGTGAAAATCTCCAAGTCAGAGATGGAAAAAAACCCCTTACTTAGCAAAAAGTCTTTTTAATTATGAGGCCAGGGATGAACAAATACATACATAGTGGACACTGACCATTTCTGTAACACAAGTTTTATTTCTAGTGAAAAAATAAAGGGCAGGTGAAGTTAACAGAAACTGAAGTCTCAATGCAGAAGGTCAGAAGTTTGTCAGGCTTACTTTGCTTAGTGTGACGATGCAGGGCACATCATCCACGTTAAGTCGAATACAATCGTACGGGTCATCAGACAGCTCAATCTCTTTAGATCCTTCTTCATCCTCCAGAACACGCACCTTGGGTATTCTGTGGAAACAGAATGTACAAAATCATTGCCCAAACAGATAACGAATACAGGTGTCACAGAGTCTCAACTCCAGGAAGTGCCCTTTCCTCTAAATGAGGCTGAATGTTTAGAAAAACATTCGGAATGTTATCAAAGAATTAACAGCTCACTCACTGAGACTAGGAAGAAAACATTGTAAGTGGGAAGATATTTAGGATAAGATAATCATATTTACATCATTCAAACCATTAGAATTTGAACTGTTTTTTACACTAATATATGGGGAAACATTCTTTTGTAATTTCAACAAGGCGATTCTGAACAACTCTTTGTACATCTCCCTGGAAGTAGAGGAGAGAAAGTGATCAAGACTGCATCCTTTCATGCTGTGGTTCCCTACCATGCAGACAACAGTGAAGTTGTCAGAATTACAGCACCTGCATTGCCCGTCAAAACTGGACATCAGTAGCAAATACAAGTAGTGAAGCTGTTCAGGGAAGAACAACACTAAATAAGGAGACTTGGGGTAAAGTAAAAAGATGACATTAGTAAAATCCTTTCTCTTTAGCAAGATGGGAAGATTGGCCAGATAGTCTCATTCTTTAAGAAGCCAGAAGACTCTACTGTTCTAAGGACAAATATACAAAAGCAACAACCAGGGATAAAAACGCAGGCAGAAGTCCAAGAAATGCTTTCTTCTTGATTGTGAGTGATGAGCCCTCTCACAAACGAGCTAGACAGGCTCCTTATCAGTGATACACATATTGTATTTGTTATAGCCATTTAACGGGAGCTTTACAGGATGACTTAATGCAGCTTTCTTAGCACAATTAATAAAGTCATTGAAAACAATTGAGTAGAAGATGGTATCTCAAGAAGCCAAGAACCTCAGTGTCTTCTATACCCTCATTATCCGGGTGCCCACTCCCACATCAGGAGTACTGATGGAGAGACTATGCTTCACTGCACAGTAAAACCCCCACGCCGTTCAACCAGACTGCTCTCACTTTTGTACTTGAAAACTTATAAAAGTATTTCAAGACGTCCCTAGAAAGCTAACTTTGCTAACCACGTGGAATGTAACCACAATCTGTTTTTATATTAGTAATTTTACAGTAGTGTTGTGTTTTATAACTAGACTCTGGGGGCTACATTCTTTTACGCATTCTGTACCAGATCCTTTTAAAAGAGGAGGAGACAGGGACTGATTTTAGGGAACCTTTCCCCCACCAACGCAAAGTGATTTTTGTTGTTCCCTGGAAGAGTATTTTAGTTATTTGTGGCTAAGAGTCCTAGAGGCGAGTACTTCACAACAGCTAATCCTGTTTCACTGAGAACAAACTCTCTACAAGAACACTGGCCAGAGCCAAGCTGGAACAAAAACTTTCCGTAACCAGAAATGAAAACTTTTAGTAAGCAGAACAACTCCAACGTCTACCTGAACTGAAACTCAAAATGCTTTGCAGAGTTACATAAGAACTCACTGGAATTGCATCAAAGCCTATTTTGAGGTTAAAAATATTCCATTAAAAATGAATGGAAGGAATAAAGTCACAAGGTGACTAACCCTCAGGCTGCACAGTACAATGGACAACACTGGATAACAGCCTAGACAAGGAGTGTACGTGCCAGAGCAGTGTTCAAAAAATAAGGAAGACTGGAAGAAAACGTGCGAGTTTAAGCAATTTTTAACTCCATCGTAAAATGGCTATGAAACCAGAGCAATGTCTGGTCTGCAAGAAAAAGTTACCAGAATTAATACCTGAAAAATGCCTGCAAGGAGCTGCTTTGGCCAAGAACAGATGAGAGAGGTACAAAGTAGAACTACTGCAGAAGCAAAAACATGATTCAGCAGACACAAGCATCGTAGTTGCATAAAAAGGGGGTATATACACACAAAAACTAGGCAAGAGAGTGGAGCACAAAGCAGTTCCAGAAAATTGGAATTTCCTCTCCTAGCTTGTGAATATTTATCTTAAGAACTAGCTGTACATGTTTACTTTGCAACTTTTATTTTTCTGTTTTGATTCCTGCAACTAATCAAGGCAGAAATCTGTACAGCAGGACTTAGTCGTGTAACGAACAATGCTCTTTTCTGTACGCTGCAGACCCACACCATGCAAGCAGGCATTAGTTCTGCCCCTACCATGCTGCCCAGCAAAAACCCATGACATCTGCAAGGTGTGATAAACTCTGAAGCTTTTGTAACTTGCCTAGTTTCTGTTGCCTCAGTTGCAAGCAGGCACATTCCACAGGAACAAGTTTAATGCTAAGTCCTGACACTGTTGCTACTTGCACATTTTTGCAATACCACGGATAAATCCAGCCGTAAGCACCTTGGAGACACGGGTAAGAAGCAAGTTTGGTATCTGCTATCTTTTGCACATGATCTTAATATAGTTTTTAGAACATAATGAACAACACATAATTCCAACGAACAAACGTTCCCTCTAGAACAGTCATATTGACATTGCTCCATGCCTGAAGGGGACGCGATGAGTAGGATGAGGCATACAAAGCATTTAAATCCCGTAATTCTTGCACAAAATTCCTTCAGTGGTGATTTTGCATTTGCTTAGCCCTAAAGAAAAATGTATCCATAGCTATCATACCTTTTTTTTTTGTACATTTGCTCTAGTACTGTGTGGTGATTCCCTGATGAATAAACCAGAACTATGCCAATGACTTTAGCTGATCTCTAATTTACAGCTGAAGAACAATTTGAGATCCACTTTTAAAACATTTATGCCTGTAAGAGCCTAATTTTTGCACCTCTTCCAGCTACTTTTGCTACATAAGTTTTTTAACAAAGCCATTCACTAGTTTATTTCTCAAGGGTGCTACAAAACTCTGTATTCCATCTGCAGATAAAGATAAAAACATTTAAAAAGTTATTAAATGTTATCATTAAATTACATGCAGAGCACTTGCATCAATCTGCTAGATTTTGTTCTTCTATTCTTTGAATTAAAATGCATGGGCCAAAGTTCTTTTAAAGACACATTATTTACCCCCTCCTCACAACCTCTCACCACCATTTTTTCCCCTTAGTTTTAAAAAGAACTCTAGACTAACAGTTAATGAGAAAGAAGGACAGAAGTGGGAAAACAGGGCTAGTTACAAATCAGTAGTCACGCTGACAGAGAGCTTCTTATTCAGGAGCATTGCATATCAGTAAATACTACTTATTTTAAACCCACATGGCGTCAACACAAAGGCCTCCAACTACTTGCGACAAAAACATATGGTCAAGACAATTTTTTCTGGATCTGGCTCCAGAACAAAATATTGTGAACCTGACTGTGCACATAATGCAATATGACACTTGACTATTAGAAACTGAGTTAAAGTCATTAGTTCACGTTACTTGCATGCAAATGGATTGCCTTGTATATGAATGCAAGTTGCCTTGGGTTTTTCTTACTTATATAATTAAGCATTAAAAATGCTTAGCTCATAGAGAGTTTTTCTCTTCCAATTCCCCTGCCACTTCCACTCACATGAAATGCGATCTGTGCTTTACCGTGTATTAAAGAGAGCTGCCTTCACTGCGATAGAGATTGCATCAAAGAGGTTCCCACCACATTCCAACAACTGGGGAGGAAAAAAAAAAAAAAGAGTATCTTTAAAAGAAAATCAGGCTACTGTCTCTAAATCAAGTCTTTACTCAAGCCTACTTGAAAAGGCACAAAATTAATAACGTTTTTAAAAAACAAAGTTGTCTTTAAAGCCTATCTATGGAAATAAACAGCAGATATGAACTTAAGATTTCAGCTAACTGTATTATACATGCAAAATAGAAGAGTTAACACAATTCATAACAAAAATTAATGATAACATTTCATAACAGAAGCTGAAACAAAACCACCACTGTTCTTACTCTTCTTCTGCTACAGCTCTGAACGAAACTCAGTCAGATGCCACATGCATTTGGCCGTAGTCTGATGCTAGTTCCCTGACAAGCTCTGCTCTCAGCTGCCAGTACTATTCCATGAACACACACACACACACCCCCCAGCAAACATTTGAAACTACTTGAGTGAGAACATATGGATGCCTTTCCATTACATCAATCTATGCTGTATGATGAGAGCAAAACCAGTTTTGCACACTGATGGCATTGATTGTTCTTCAAAATCTATTTAAGAATGAGACAAACTCCCACACTGTCAGCACCTGATAAATCAGATATTCCGGAAAGACAGTTTATTTTTACGAAGACAGACTGAATTGTGTAAAAAGAATGACAAAAAGTTGGGATAGAAAGCTAAATTCAAAGGTGATAAAATTATTTCTTTGCAAACAGCTGCTGGATGCAGAGAGGTTAACTTGCCCCTTTCAGTTGTTATTAGATTTTACTGGATAACACAATAAGCCCCACAGTATCTTTGTTATTAAAACATAATAATGGGATGTGCCTGTCCTGTTGCTAGGCTTATGCTCAGACTGCTGTTCTGAAGCCTTATCTGTATTGCAGGGGCGCCTACAGGCTGGGAACACAGCCTGTACCAAGCGTGGTACAACAATTCATCCAGAAAGAAATTAACAGTCTCTTCTCAGCTGAAGCACCTTGTACTGAGACCGCCACCTCGCCACCCCCCCCCCCCCATTATTTTTAATTTTTAGAATTTTAAAGAATGCATGTATTTTGAAAGGTCAAGGTACATATTCCTGACCTTTGATACATATCTATATGTGTCCATATGCCCACATCTTTGTAGTGTATATAGTTGAAGCTATTTTCTCCCTAGTCTGACTGTAAACAATTATAGCACCTCCCAAGATCACTAAAAAATACTTGAGATATTTTTTAACTGATAAGCTGCATGGCTATGCAAAATATACTATTTTCTCTTCTGAGACTGCATATCTCAGATTTTGTTTACACACAGGAGCTGAATATCAATGCTTTGATCAAAGTGCACATGGCTAAATTACATAGCAATGGAATATCTCCCGGTTCACAACATTATTTCTCGGTTTTTGTCTTTTGGAATGAGGGACTTGGAAACAAGTACCTTCCTCCCTGACTACAAGGTACCAGTAGTTTCAGGCTTATGACAGATTTAAAGCTTATTTTCCCTCCAACTTAACTATGCAACATAAACACTAATGTGAATAATTTCCAGGAATTCTGAAGGAAAACATAATCCAAAGGGCTCTCAATATGCATTGTTGTTATATTTAGAATCTGCCTCCCTCAAATGATGAATAATATGACTTTAGTGCCTTGTACTAGCACAAGTGTTGTACTTCCACCGTGTACTATTAAAATAGAGCTCTACAGGAATGATTCAGTCAGAGCAGCTTCAGGAAAACCTGTAGATTATTGAGCACCTACATCAAGTGTAAACTATCACCTGTGATATACGTCTTCTATTTAGAGGAGGAAATAGTACAAATACCTCAAATGTGAAAATACAGAGGCCTGGGGTGGAAATAAAAAGGAGGGGGTAAAAGAATAAAGAGATGAAAGTTAACAGTATCCTGTTACAATGACACCAGCAGCTCTTCAACAGCTTACACACAACATCGCTGTAGAATATGACATCAGAAAGACTCATGAAGTTCGGAGTCCTAGTTATGAACCTACAACAGATTTGTTATTGGCACTGTGAACAGAGCTAAATGCAAAATTCATCACACAGCATAGATCTTGATATTCATCATTCTGATACAACTAGTAGCATAAAAGACTGGTTTTCTCTGTAGCTGTGGACAACCAACAAATACGTCCAGAAGAATCGAATAATGGCCACTTATACCTCATACAAAAGCTACACAGCACTGCTTCTGCACCAGTCAGCTTCATGAAAGTCTTTGTTCATCCAGCGTTTTTGCAATGTTAAGCAGCACATTGCTTAAGTAAGCAGAGCATTTAATATTCCGCACCCTTGCTTGTCATTACCTAGTAACGAAAGGCCCCGGTGTGATTTCTCAGAACCAACACTTCTTTCTCTATTAAACTGTGCCAAGCTCCAATGAGCTGGTGACTGGGACTGTTAAAGCACTCAGCAATGGTATACATTGGATCGTTCTGCATGCGGACTAAGACATGGTACATACCACATCTACTACAATTAGGCTAATGCTACTGCTTTTAAACACCTAATGGACTAATTTTCACATTTATTAGGTCTACGTCTAAATGTTCCTGTTTGTTTAACGAAACCCTGTACTTTTTTTTCACAATACAGCTTAATATTTTACAAATCATTCGGAGACATTAATGGATTTCTGTGAGTAATCCTTCAACATATTTTCAGTTATAAATTTGACAAATAGAAACTCAACTTTGGACCAATAAGAACTGGAAATAATGCTCAGGAGAGTCTGACTTGCAGACTTCTTTCTATTGAACTCCCGTAAATAAGCACAGTTTGGAAACTGAGCTGCTGCATGCACAAGATTTACATGCATAAAATCCAGTTTCCATTTTTAATGGGAACAAATATTCAACTTCTTTTCTACATGCGATACATGTATACAGCTTCCATCAAAAAGTGCCTAGGCTCAACGTAACTTTTGCCAGAAAAGTTTATATTTTACTTGAGTGAATTAGTACTGATAATAGTGCAAAGAGGGAGATAGGATGGACAGTTATGCCAGGGCTAACATACACCCACGCTAACTTACATTCATTAGAATCATACCCCTGCCATTATATCTATCTTGGAAAAAAGTTCAGCTTTCTTTAGTGGCAATTTCTTTGTCAGTATAAGGTCACTGATTTTTATCTGAGACAGATGTGGAGTATTCAGTGGTTTGTTAGCTCTGCAATGGAGCAGAGGCATGAAGAAGAGCTGAAAAAGAGCAAGTTGGAAGTAAGTAATGATTAACTATTACAGGCAGATGCACAAGAAAATGTCCATCTATGCTGTTAAGCATTGTATTACATTATGAGAAACCTTTTTTATATGAAAATACACATGGTTATCCTCAGTCAGTGCCTTGAGAAACCCCCTTGAATCTCAGTTTTCATTTTCTTACTTACCAATACATCAACATAGAGAACCCAGCAGTGCTCTCTGGGATTAATACAAAGTGATTTCAAGTCTACACTGCTCTCACTGCTAAACACTCTATAGAGTGTACTCGCTATCTCTGCGCCAAGCTCTTCTCCTCCACGGCCTTCAAATTCAGGAGTAGCATTTGCAGAACTAGATAAAGAAAGAAAAAATATTTTCACTTCTGAAGCAGCCAATACCTAAAGAACATTTCTTAAATATAAAGCATTAGAAATACCCAAGGATTTATTTGTACAAGAATAAGCATCCTATCTGTAAATAATTTCTATTTAGCAAAAGAAAATGTCTTGATGCAGATAATACACCTATGTTTTGCTACAAACTCTGATACTAATTAAATTCACCATCTTCAGTTCCCAAGTTACAATATTAATGTTGGTGAATTCTCTCTGGGATTATTTCTTAAGCACTCTCATCTTCTATCATCTCAACCCTTTCAAAAATAAAGAAATAAGAGAAATCTGTACTAAATTCAGAAAGGCTAACAAGACAGCCTGTTAGAGATTAATGTGAAATTAATAAGTTGAGAGTGGCTAAGAGGAGAAAGACGTGATGATATGACAAGTAGAATACACTTTTTTTTTTTTAAAAGTTACATGACTTCCTGACCATAATTGGTAATTTCTTTACTGAGTGTACTCTCTGCCATCAAGGCACTTGCAGACAGCAGCTCATTATTTCCAGCAACTACAGCTTATGGAGAGCAGCAGCTAAGGAATATTTTTTCCAGAAGGGATCTGACAGAAGTGTTTGTTCTTCACTTCCCTGATTCCAACATAGCAAACTTTGTTTATGAGCAGCCATGCAAGAAAGTCCTTGTGTCCTGAGGCCTTGTACACAGCTAAGAACAAAATCACAACAATAAAAGAAAACAGGCCTACAAAAAACAAACCAAAACAAACAAAAAACCAAACCCAAAACCACAAAACCCAACCAAACAAAAAAAACCCCTCACCTCCAAGTCAGAATGAAATAGAGCAGAAATGTCCAGAGATGCATACACAGCAAAATAACAAACAAATATTCTGAACCCAGCCTCTGGTTTACAAAGAGGGCAAAAGCATTGCCAAGCAGTGGACCCTCAGCACATGTTGCAGATCTTGTTTTTCAATAAACTGGCCAGACCTCCCACAAATTAATTTCTCATTACAGAACACAGGAAGGGAGGTGGCTCCACAGAAATAGGTTGATATGTTCAAAAACTATAACAGCAAAGCCTCGTATTCTCCTGTCTGGGCACCTCCCAGTGCCAGTTTCTCATGTATGTTTTGTTTTTAGGTGCTGATACAAACTCTTAGCTCTTCCAACAGGAACACCACAGCAATGCAAACATACAGCAGAAAACAAAGTCTTGGCATACAATCCCTTCACCTTTAAAAAACCAACAACTAAAGATCATGCACATTACCTAGGTATGACTTAAATCATAAGTGCTGCAAGTGTGACACAATATTACTTGCAGTTGTGTTAATATCAGACATTTTACAAGATAGCACCATATCGAAATATAACAATTCTGGAAGTATGCTGAGTCAGGTCTTCAGGTTGCATTAAGCAAGCACTTATCCATGGAAGCAGCTTTCATGCAAGTTAACTACATCACTCTGTTTAAAGTATGGTTATGCAAGCATTATGATTCATATAAGTTGAAAAGAAGTACACAAACCTCAGTCTATACCTTGTTATTATTTCTAAACACAAAGTTTTATCAAATGATGTAGGTTTTCATTATAAATGGCCATTTTCTTTGACAGAGAGCAAGAAGAACATGAGACTCAACTGGAATACCATTGCAAGTTTCACTGCATCTTGATTGCATTATTATTTTAATACTTCAATTCCTTGCAATCAAAGTGGAATAAAAAAGTAACGTTAGCAGGGTACTACTATAAGAACTCTGTGGCAAATACTGCCGCCCAGTGCTCACAGACTATTGCAGTAATTTACACTGCGTAAAATTCAAATAAGGGTTGTACAGCACGCTAACAAAAGCAAATACCAAAAAGCTTGCTTTATGGAGCACAGAAAGAACTTGGTAGTGGCCAAATGGAGCACAAAATTTCTACTCCTGAAGAGAATGTCACTTTAAAGACTTTCAAAGACACTTCAGCGTCATGCTGCATAACAATCAAGGCTGCTGAAGCATCATGAGGCTGCTACCACAGATCTCTACTTTCCAAACCCTTGCTGTTACCAGTCAAAACGTTTCTCTCACAGTAGCGAAGTACTTCCCATCCATTACTCAGGCCGTTAATACACTATAATCTACAGTGAAAGTAATTATAACAAGAAATAAAACAGTTAATTAAACAAAAGTTTACAGCTATTTTCCTGTATACAAGGGTTTCATTAGATAAGAGGATATTCTTCACTTGAAGCCATATTCACTTCAAGCAACCAATACCAGATTTCTATTCTTGCATCAAAATCAGCACACAATAATTTAAAACAAGAAGGCAGATTCACTGTTTTAGACTCAGCAGTAAATGAACCACCTCAGTAACATTCCACTCTTCCAGAAAGCAGCCAGAAAATACGTTTATGACACATCTGGACCACCACTCCAGTCCCAGAAATAAACAGATCTGAATTTATTTTTTTTCTAATTCCACAAACAAATCTAATGCATCCAAGGAATTCAGATTTGTCTGCTGTCTTATTTTTTTCCTTACACTTTGAAAATTTTAAATCTTTGCTTCAGTCAAAAAACAAAAACCAAACCAAAACAAAACCCTAACAAGTCAGTAATTAGAACAACCCTGAAACTCAAAACATGAGAAAAGCAGACACAGCAGTCCAACATCAATGACCAAGATTAGCGTCTTCTCCAGTGCCAATGGGCAGTAAGGACATCACACAGGACATGGACTTATTCTATGATAATTAATTTCTAGTATCACAAATTAGTGCCCCAAAAATCATCTCTTCCACAGACTAGCACTAAAACCTGTCTCAAAATGGGATGAAATGTGCTTCCCAGATTTCAGGATAAGGACTCAGAGCAGAATGAAGAGAAATGGAATTTTGGGGCAGAGAATTATATACATGATCCAGCAAGGGATTATTTTCAGCAGTACAAGAAACCATGGAAGTTTTGGGAAATACGCATTATAAGATAGCAAACACTGCAGGCTGAGTTTTTATTATTAGTTTCAACAATATAAAGCACAGTTAGAACATACAGGAACTTCAGTATGAGATGCAGTCTATCAAACTGCTCAGTTACTACCACCCAGTGGCAGCCTGGAAAAGCATCAAAGTACTGACAGCATCTCACCTCCCTTTACAGAGACCAAACAGCTCCCACTTCACATTTTGTCTTTTGGATCTTTCTGGAGGATAGAGGTCACCTTTCCCTGGTGGCACAAGCATGAGAGAAGTGACTATCCTTCTCTAAAATTTAGGCTTTTGGTCTGTGTTGTCACAGAAAGTAAGGATTACCTATTTCTGGAACTGACAAGATCCATCTCACACAATATTGTTCCACGTCTCCCTCCCATCTTCTTATGAAGCAGAGATTAACAGTTAGAAAATACAACCTAACACTAATCTAATGAGTTTTTCTAACATTGATTTACATATGAAAGAAGTGTCATTGAACTGCAACATCCCCACAGACCCCTTGTTTTAATAAGGAAATGTCCCTGCTGTCACTGGATAGCAGAAAGTTTTGAGCATTCACCACTACTGAAACAATAGAATAACTGTTTCTATTGCTCAGACCCTTTTGGGAAGTTAGCGGAATGAAGGTACAAGCTTCAGAAGAAAGGTAAGATGTGATTAGTCATTTATTTCAAATATTAGATCTCTTCCTGTCTCTCCCAGTATACTAACCAGTCAACAAAGAATTCCAGGTAACCTTCATCTGGTTTCTCCAACTTTGGTGTCCCCATTTCAGCTTTTACACCTACCAAGATATCAGTGTGTCCCTGTTAAAACAAAAACATATCACCAACTATAATTATATTCACAAAACTACGTGTTTAATTTAAATGTCTATGGTAAGCCGACATGTCTACCTTTCAGTTATCTGCACCATCATTCTATCAGAGTGAACTTAAAATCACATTAGTTTTTTTTTAAAAATGAAAGGTTTTAGAAGAACAATGTTAAGCCTAAGAAGTTTCTTCCAATAACTACCACACATATTAGCTTTCTCTAGGTTAAAAAGATGCTCTTCATATCCATGACTTTTTCTATCATTTTGGTTCTGGAAACAGCTGTATCTGCAGAATCTTTATAATATTGCACAGTATATTTACCATCTTTAGAGCCAACACATGCCAAAAGTAGTTTTGCTTCACTCTAAAGGAACGGAATTTTCTTTCCCAGTGATTAGGCAGAAGAGCAATTTCATTTTTTCGAGATTAAATGATAGATTAGTTCAGACTGAAGGCTTTCAGGTACTTCACAATAAATCTAGCTCCAGTAAATTAAGCCAGCTTGAATGAATTACATAACATACCACTATTTCCTTAACCCGTAGTTTCGGTTAGTGCTATATACACACACATTTTATTACACACACACACACACCCCCCCATCTACAAATAGCCTCAGCTTATCTTAAAACTAGCCACATAAACCAGAAGTTTCAACAGCAAGGTATGCTATCTCTAAGAAATGTACCTACAAGCTTTACTCTTGCAGATCCACTTGTGTTTGATACAACATCTGTTTCTACTTCTGCACATCTGTAGTCTTCACAGCCACGACCATCTACACGAAGGTCCTCCTAAATATGACAATCAATATATTGTGCTTAAGGGAGTCAGCAATAAAAAGCAAAAAAGAATCTGTGATTTTAAAGTTTCCTTCTCCTATGCCAAATAAAACAGTAAAATTGATACAAAAGCAACAGCTCTCAGTTTCATCACTAACTTTCACTTAAGAATACAAAGAACCAACTTTTCTTTCTGTTCATCTCTCATTTATTTAGAGCTTGCAATAAGCTCTCTGCAGACAGACCTGAGCTCCTGCACTACTTCTATTCTGTTTCAACAGAAAGCTTCAGACTACAAAAGCACAAAGGTCTTGGCTCTAAAGGTACTTTACCTAACACAACACGGGTCATTCTTGGGATACTCAAATTCTGTACTTTTATATAGGTAATCAAGACCCAGCAGACAAATGAAACCCACCAGTCTTCCAAATACTTTAATCTGTTTGTATATAAAAACCCAACTATTACACATCCTCAGACACTATACAGCTCACCCCCATAAAAGTAGTTTTCTTTGCAGTAAAATACAGTTTCTGTACTTTGCAGGAAGCACAGTCCATTCTTGGGCATTTCTCCCCATAAGCCCTTGACTCTTCTTCCTTAGTCCTCTCACAGTTCCTTAGCTTAGTTACAGGCAAAAAACTCTATGCAACAGCAAAAACTAGAGAAAAAGCACAGGAAGAAGGACAAAGAGGAGGACAACAATGTAAAAAACAAACCCACGTCTTGTCCTCAGCTTGCTTTCTATTCTGATGGTCTATTCTCATTGTGCTTGGACGATTATCACTCCAGAGATTTCCCCCCTACACACCATTTACCGAAAACCCCCCCCTCATTCCTTCCCCCGCCCACACCGTGACTCGTTCCCGCCCCACACCTCACGGGGACAAAGAGGAGGACAACAATGTAAAAAACAAACCCACGTCTTGTCCTCAGCTTGCTTTCTATTCTGATGGTCTATTCTCATTGTGCTTGGACGATTATCACTCCAGAGATTTCCCCCCTACACACCATTTACCGAAAACCCCCCCCTCATTCCTTCCCCCGCCCACACCGTGACTCGTTCCCGCCCCACACCTCACGGGGACAGGGCCCGGCCCCACACCTCACAGAGGCACCGCCACCACAGGCACGGCCAGGCCGAGCTGGCCCAAATAACTTCCCA